ACAAAAAATCCACTTGTCGAAGCGTAAACCAATAAACAGAGCGTTTAAATATACCTTTCGAAAGTTTTGTGTCTGGAAAGACTCAAGAGCGTACAGTTGTTCTTTTCAGAAAGAATTTCTGTGTCCGTAATTTTTTGACAGATACTTTTATCAAGTTCGATTTCACTTGGAACTTACATTTTTTTACAGAAGCGAGTGTGACACGGGCGTTACTTCTTAGGCGAAAGCGTTGCCGTCAACTCATAAAGTTAAGTTTTTTATCAGATCCGCTCAGAATAAGTACTTACAAGTAAAGGATAAAATTCATTTAGGAACTGATATCAACCATGTACAAGTAATACAAATAGTATTTTAAAATTATATATTAAAAAAATTACGTCAAGGCCAAAATGCACTTATAAGTTGATATCCTTCAAAGGATAACCCATCACAACTTGATATCCTTCAAAGGATAACCCATGACAACGTTTCTGCTTATATGCCATTGGATCCTTGCGATACATCATTGATATTTGGAATAAATAACTTTAGCACCCACGTATCTCAATTTGCATGCACCATATGACGCCCCTTTGTTCGTGCTACAGTGATATAAGAATTTAAATGTTTGATTTTTTTTCATTACTCATTAGATGTGTTTATGAAAAGTTTTTATGCGCTGTAAAACCGTTGTTCTTATATAAAGTTACTTTTTATAGGTGTGTTGATTAAGAAGTAACTTCAGTATACCATTAACGTTAAATATTATAGGTGTGTTAATTAAGAAGTAACTTCGGTATACCATTAACGTTAAATATTATAGGTGTGTTAATTAAGAAGTAACTTCGATATACCATTACTATTTGGTATGTCATTGTATCAGCATACATGTATATATTTTTTCTGAGAGAACTGAATATATCTACGCCACAAGTCATGCTTCAATGACTTTGAAATTGTTATATTGTGTTTTTCTGAAGTTTTTTTCCCTGACAATGGTAATACAGTAAGCAATTTTATAAGCATAGATGAATAGCATAAATTAGGCCGTTGTATTTCTATTTTAAACATTTCACATTTTTCATACCGGTTTTTTTTTATAGCTGACTATACGGTATGTTTTTATGCCCCCGCCGTAGTGGAGGGGGCATTAAATTTTACCCTTGTCCGTCTGTACGTCCGTCCGACGACTGCTGAATTTTTCGTTTCCGTTCTCTAACTTTAGTTGGCCTCAACCAAATGTTATGAAACTTATGAACAATGCTTATTACCACAAAACACAGATCAAGTTTGAATTTTGGTTGCGTCACTTTTACTTTTCTAGAGTTCTGCCCCTTTACAAATGAAAAAAAATGTTGAATTGTTCGTTTCCGTTCTCTAACTTAAGTTTGCCTCAACCAAATGTTATGAAACTTGTATACACAATGCTTATTACCACAAAACTCAGATCAAGTACAAATTTGGGTAGCGTCACTTTTACCGTTTTTGAGTTATGTCCCTTTATAACATTATATGCAAGCAGGGGCATCATCTGTGTCCCATGGACACATTCCCCATTTATTTTCTCATTGTTGAAGGCTCTTATGTAGCTGGGGTGTCTAATTGTTCGACGATTATTTTTTCTTAAACTTCCGTAAACAACAATTTGGTCAATGTTCTTTCAAATTTCAATATAAAAACTGGGGGTCATGGACCTTGTTTATCGTTAAAATACATTGAAATTAACGAAATTACAGTAATTTTATATGGGTTATATAATACTTTATTAAGCACAAATTACACCCACAAGAGGGACAAACAATAACAATTTCATGTATACACAACAATATAATGATGACATATACATTTACATAACTAGAGGCTCTAAAGAGCCTGTGTCGCTCACCTTGGTGTATGTGCATATTCAACAAAGGACAATCTCCAACATTGGAGACGAGAATAGAATTCATGACAAAATCTGTTTTGTTGATCTTGTATTGCTGGTCATTTAGTCTGTAAAGTTTCTCTCTATCTTCTTTCGTTTTTGCTCAAAGCACAAAAGAGGGTAAACAAAAATCCTAATTTTACTTTTACTTTTGGGTAGTTTTATCTATAAATGTCAAGTTTTAGATGTTTCTGTTTTATATTGAATGATACTTGGTAAAATATCATAATGATACCTCATTGTTGACCTCACTCCTTGGAACATTAAGTATTTCGACATTTGAATTGTCTTTCTTTCTTTTTGAATGCCTTTTGAATTTATAATTGAACTACAATATATATATTTAAATGAAAACAAGTCCTTTAAATGGATGATTGAAAACCTCAAAATGAAACTGCAAGGATATAATGATTGTAATGTTTTTTGTCTTCGGTTATTGTTGATTTTTAGCTTGATTGGACAATAAAATTATCTGTATAGCTCTTGTATAAAAAATTGTAAATCTACATATTATCTTATACATTATATATTAAATTAAAACTTACCCGAAGTTTGAGAATTAATCCAATCTTCCCCACTGTCAAAAAATTGTGTAAGTTACGCGATGGTGTGTAATACGCTTAAATATTTAGAACGACACCTAGCGGTACTCTGCAGTCAACGACCGGTCACAGACAGCGGTCAATAAACTGCAATGAATATGATCGACTTTTTCTGAACTTTATAAATAAGGCGAAGGAAAAAAGGTAATATTGGTTTCGCTTGTTTGAAGGCTTCACCACAATTATTGAATAAAAGATAAGAGCAAACAAAACACTATGTGTTTCCAGGGTCTCATCCTTCAGAAAAATTGGTCAATAGGGGGTTTCATTTATTTATTTTGTCTACCTTGGTGGTTATAGTAAGACTTACACTTTTGTCAGTTAACTATATACATATTCTAATGCCAATTTAAATGAAGATATTTAAAAGCTTAACAATGGAGTAGGTAGAGAACCCTAAAACCGAGTTTTTTGGGGTTTATTTTTGTTGTTGCCTAATCTGACAATTTTGTTTAATTTCGAACTTCATGCCAGTTTCTTTGCCAAGGAAATACTTCAGAGGAGGTAAAATCAGAAAGTAGTGTTAGTGAGCGTGCAGAGAAGGTATAATCAGGAAGGTGTCAGTGAGCAAGCTAAATATGCGACAGTACGTTACGAAGGTATGGACGTACAAGCTAAATATGCCACAATACGTTACGAATGTATGGACGCACAAGCTAAATATGCCACAATACGTTACGAATGTATGGACGCACAAGCTAAATATGCCACAATACGTTACGAAGGTATGAACGTACAAGCTTAATATGCAAAAGTTAGTTACGAAGGTATGGAAGGAGGTTTATAAAGTAGAAAATTAGGGGCTAAAAAGGGCAAGAAAACGGGTTGAGAAAAATGGTCCTATCCTTGGCAATTTAGAGCTTGACATATTGTTTCAACCACTGTCTGTTGTTGAAGATTGATCTATTTTGGATTTTTAATGTCCCGTTTTTATGCCCTTTTCGGAGGCATCATGTTTTCCAGTTTATGCGTCCGTCCGTCTGGCCGTCCGTAAGTCCGTCCGTCCGTTTGTCTGTTCGTTCGTCCCATATAAAGTGATTTTTGTCGAGCCTTCGACTTTTGTCGAAAAAAGCGAGACATAGCGATCCTACATTCCGTCGGCGTCGTCGTCGTCGTCGTCGTCGTCGTCGTCGGCGGCGGCGTCGGCGTCCACAAATATTCACTCTGTGGTTAAAGTTTTTGAAATTTTAATAACTTTCTTAAACTATACTGGATTTCTACCAAACTTGGACAGAAGCTTGTTTATGATCATAAGACAGTATCCAGAAGTAAATTTTGTAAAAAAAAAAATCCTGTTTTTCCGTATTTTACTTATAAATGGACTTAGTTTTTCTGCCAGGAAACATTACATTCACTCTGTGGTTAAAGTTTTTAAAATTTTAATAACTTTCTTAAACTATCCTGGATTTCTACCAAACTTGGACAGAAGCTTGGTTATGATCATAAGATAGTATCCAGAAGTAAATTAAAAAAAAAATCCTGTTTTTCCGTATTTTACTTATAAATGGACTTAGTTTTTCTGCCAGGAAACATTACATTCACTCTGTGGTTAAAGTTTTTAAAATTTTAATAACTTTCTTAAACTATCCTGGATGTGTACCAAACATGGACAGAAGTTTGTTTATGATCAAAAGCTAATATCTAGAAGGAAATTTTTATTAAAATTTTGTACTTGTTTACCAAACTTGGACAGAAGCTTCTTACAATAAAAAAATTGTATTGAGAGGAATATTTTTATTAAATTTTTTCCTCATCTCATTTTTGTTGAGCCTGCGATTAACAGCAAAAGTAGGCGAGACACTGGGTTCCGCGGAACCCTTACGAATTTTTTTGTGTTAAGGTAATTTACCATGAAGTTGTGGTCACATCAATTTTTAAACTTTGAACACATTTAAATTGTGATGTTAACTTTTTATAAACAAATGCCAAACTAGGTTTTAGACCAGATTTGTTCAGTTCACTGAACATGGAAATGTGATATTGCGGACACATATTCTTGGTGTTTTTTATATATTAGTATAAACTTCGTGCGAGAAAATAAAAATAATAATAATAACAATAATAATATTTTAATAATAATAACAATAATAATAATATAGGGTTATTGCATGAATATTTGGGGAATATTGTCCCGAGTAGAATTTTATATTGCACGAGCTTGCGAGTGCAATATATGTTCTACGAGGGACAATATTCCCCAATATTCATGCAATAACCCTTTTATTGTATAGCAATATAATATTTGAAAGTAAAAATTGTTTAAACTAAGATTTTGTCGTTGATGGCGTCATAAATTTTGAAGATTTATTGCACTAGTGCAATATTATAATTTATTGCACGCTAACTTTTGGTTACTTTCTGTGGGAAATATTATATTGCTATGCAATAATAATAATTATGATGATAATAATAATAATAATAATAATAATAATAATAATAATAAAAATAATAATAAAACTTACAAGGTCATTAAATTTTATATTGTTTCTTTTCAGTAGGCACTCCGTACATCCCAAGTTACATGGACCTGAGTCAGGGCCCAGAACCATGTGTTGTGTGTACTGATGCGGCTACTGGGTACCATTACAGATGTATGACGTGTGAAGGCTGCAAGGTAAGTGTATTACATTCACAGGGGGGAGGGGGTGTCTACTTGGTACCATTACAGATGTATGACGTGTGAAGGCTGCAAGGTAAGTGTATTACATTCACAGGGGGGAGGGGGTGTCTACTGGGTACCATTACAGATGTATGACGTGTGAAGGCTGCAAGGTAAATGTATTACATTCACAAGGGGGAGGGGGTGTCTACTGGGTACCATTACAGATGTATGACGTGTGAAGGCTGCAAGGTAAGTATATTACATTCACAGGGGGGAGGGGGTGTCTACTGGGTACCATTACAGATGTATGACGTGTGAAGGCTGCAAGGCAAGTGTATTACATTCACAAGGGGGAGGGGGTGTCTACTGGGTACCATTACAGATGTATGACGTGTGAAGGCTGCAAGGTAAGTGTATTACATTCACAAGGGGGAGGGGGTGTCTACTGGGTACCATTACAGATGTATGACGTGTGAAGGCTGCAAGGTAAGTGTATTACATTCACAGGGGGGAGGGGGTGTCTACTGGGTACCATTACAGATGTATGACGTGTGAAGGCTGCAAGGTAAGTGTATTACATTCACAGGGGGGAGGGGGTGTCTACTGGGTACCATTACAGATGTATGACGTGTGAAGGCTGCAAGGTAAGTGTATTACATTCACAGGGGGGAGGGGGTGTCTACTGGGTACCATTACAGATGTATGACGTGTGAAGGCTGCAAGGTAAGTGTATTACATTCACAGGGGGGAGGGCGTGTCTACTGAGTACCATTACAGATGTATGACGTGTGAAGGCTGCAAGGTAAGTGTATTACATTCACAAGGGGGGAGGGGGTGTCTACTGGGTACCATTACAGATGTATGACGTGTGAAGGCTGCAAGGTAAATGTATTACATTCACAGGGGGGAGGGGGTGTCTACTGGGTACCACTACAGATGTATGACATATGAGGGCTGCAAGGTAAGTGTAAAAGTTACATTCACAAAAAGGGAGACATTCAAATTTGGGTTCAGAAGTCCGACTATAGTTATAAAAAACCCTTACCCTCATTACTATATAGAAGTTTTGTAAAATTCATATTAAAATCATAACCCTTTCATATTTTTCATTTTTAAGATTTTATACATACATCTTAATTAGATGTGAAGTTTAAATGGATTTTCAATTAGTATCCCTATCGGAAATTTGGGTCCTCAATGATCTTCAACTTCGTATTGTATTTGTCCCTTTTCATTTTTTAGATTCAAGCGTCACTGACGAGTCTTTTGTAGTCTAAACGTGCGTCTGTCGTACAATATTTTAATCCTGGTATATTGGACTGCTTTGTTTCACTTGTCATATAAGTACTGTTTTATCTTTGTGCAGTTCAGACATATTTATTCATATTCACACCAAGATGAAATGAAATTGAATAACCTGCATTTATCATGATTTTCAATAATATATGGTCAAATTGCTGGGTTGATGCCACTGCTGGTGGAGTTTTCCTCCGAGGGTATCACCAGCCTAGTAGTCAGCACTTCTGTGTTGACAAGAATTATCATTGATATGGTAATAATAATAAATTAAATGATAATAAAACTTAAAGAATTTTTCGAAATACTAAGGATTTTCTACACAAGGAATAGATCACCTTATAAAAATAAGGAGATGTGGTTTGATTGCCAATGAGACAACTATCCACCAAAGTTCAAATGAAGTGGATGTAAGCAACTTTTGCCTTCAACAATGAGAAAAACCCGTACCATATAGTCGGCTATAAAAGGCCCCGACATGAAAAATATGGAACAATTCAATTGAGAAATCTAACTTAGTTGTATTTGGCAAAACCTTGCGGAATTTTGGGTCTTCAATGCTGTGCAACTTAAATTCGTACTTTATTTAACCTTTTTATTTTTTTCGATTCGAGCGTCACTGATGAGTCTTTTGTAGACGAAAACGCGCGTCTGGCGTACAAAATGTTAATCCTGGTATCTATGATGACTGAGTTTATTTAGATACACCCAATCGGGCTTATACTCCCTCATACATGTAGGTGTATCTAATACTTCTAGAAGTGTTATCAAAATTTTAGAAAACAATTCAGATTTTGGCAATTAAACCGGAAAAAGACAAGACAGTACAGCAATTCATATTGCCATACAAAAGCAGTGATAAGGTATCAATTTGATGACAGAAAAATTGGCGCAATTAAGATTTCCTTCCAAATCCATTTATATCATCTTCTGAAAGTGTAACTGCATCTGGAAAATTTGAGATAATGACACTTTTTCCTGTTTTATCAAAACTAATTATTCTTTTTAGATATAGAGGAAAGATCACATATTTATTTATTACTTCTATGTTTATCCGATGTAGTCGTCTCATATCTTCGGGGCTAATCCCCCTCATGAGAAGCCTACATCTAATACTATTCTTTGTTTAAAAATGCCATTGAAAACACGTTTTTCTGCCTAAAGATCAGAATATTGTAATATTAATCATTTGTTCTCATAACATAACACGAGTTCCTTAAATTAAGATTCACGATGACGTAGGATACTTGTGTGATATGTTTTTTTGTACAAAGACTGCGTTAACTTTCACACTCAACACAAATTAACAAAAAAACACTCGAGATTTCACAAGTTGATAATTAGTTGTGAGGTAGGTAGATTTTGTTATTTATAAGATGTTTTTGTACCGAAAACTGTTTCAAGGATAATAAATAGTTTTGACGTAGGTGACACTGTAGTCCAAATAATTATGACGTCTTGAAATGCTATTTTTTTTTTTTTTTTTTTGCTTTGACGCCTTGACACGGTGCAGGCGGTGTTGCCACGATGTCACAGACGCAAGGGTTCGAATCCCGCTGAGGGAAGAATAAAAATTTGCTAACGCTGTAGTGTTAGATCTTCAAATTTGCGTTATTAAAATGTATTACCATAATAATTAACAACAGCAAGGATCCGTTACCCAAGTTGATTACAGAAAAAATCCGGTAATGTTGGATTGGTCCTATTGTGTTTGAACGTTGTTTTCAATTTAGACTTGTTTATATATATATATATATATATATATATATATATATATATACAACTCGTCTAAACATCAGCCCAACAATGTTAGATCTGTAAATTTGCTTATATATATATATATATATATATATATATATATATATATATATAACAACTAGTCTAAACATCAGCCCAACAATGTTAGATCTGTAAATTTGCTTTCGCAAATTTTTTGTTCTCGCCGGGATTCGAACTCATGCTACTGAGATATCGTGACACCAAATCGCCTGCTCTGTATCCGATGCGCTAGACCACACGACCACCTAGGCTTCAAAAATAAAGCTTTCGGTGGCCGGGTGTTACCTTTCCTCGTCAGTTTTAATCTAGCGTCGTAATACAGTACATGATATATAAGGCATGAAGATGTAATTGTTACAGATCAGCTGAAATATCTATTGTAAAGGATCCTACAAATTAATGCAAGATACAGTCACAGAAATAATTATATTTATAAGTACATCTGAACCAGTGACAACTCTACAACAGATTTATCCATCGGATCACCAGCAGTGATGATGATACATGGCTGTGTACATTGTCACTGTTTCAGACGTACTTATATATATATATATATATATATACATAATAACAATGTTGAATCTGCAATATATATATATACATAATAACAATGTTGAATCTGCAATATATATATATACATAATAACAATGTTGAATCTGCAAATTTGCGGAAGCAAATTTTTGTTCTTCCCTCGCCGGGATAATTATGAATGTAATATGTGTTTTCAGCCGTGTATCATATCACTGGTGATCCAATGGATGGATCTGTCGTAGAGTTGTCACTTGTTTAGACGTACTTATATATATATATATATATATATATAAGAGTTAATCCTAAATTGAGGTAAATTATATGGCCTTCCAAATACCGTTTCGATTCCTAACATCACTGAAGATACATTAATTGTCGAAATCCGGATATGGTGTACCAATTTTGCACCTCATGTTTGCGGTATACCATCTTTTCCGCAAGTTTATTGTTTTCTGTTTGGTATTAAATTAATAATTAAGATCCCTTTTGTTACATCTGGTGATCCGTTTATTTGGCAATCGCCATGGCAGTCAGCAGGGTTTAAGACCATCCGTTATTCGACCTGCTAGTCAAATGCGTTTTGTTAAAATATACTTTTTCACTTTTTTGGTCTTTTGAAAAATGTTGTTTGTGCTGTATTTAGACCCCTCTACCAAGAAATTTGTTTTGCATGCACACGTATAAAAATTGCGGTTTTTATCCAACGCAATCATAGGTTTGAACGTTGTTTTCAATTTAGACAAGTTTATATTTTTTCGTTTGGGCTTGTATTATATTTGCCTTCGGGTTTATATAATCCGTTCATCCTATTTCGACTCTTCAAAATTCAAGAGTCAATCCTAAATTGAGGTAAATTATATGGCCTTCCAAATACCGTTTCGATTCCTAACATCACTGAAGAGACATTAATTGTCAAAATCCGGATATGGATAAGCTGCCCATTTGTTAAAGACTGTCTTGTTGTTAGTAAAACTGTATTATTACTAAACTTAAAAAAATAAGACATCACTCACTGTTTTTCATATTTATATTTTAGGGATTTTTTCGTCGTACAATCCAGAAAAACTTACAATATCATTGCAAATGGAACCAGTCGTGTATCATAGACAAAACAACAAGAAACCAGTGCCAATATTGTAGATTTAAAAAATGTTTATATGTTGGAATGGCTGTCGATTGTAAGTACTCTTTTATACACAATACAACCTGTATAATTTGACCTTTAGTTTTTGGAAATAATGTACTTATTCTTGCTTGGTCCGCTTTCAAGTACAGAAATTGAATTTGGCTCTCAGTACTAGTATTAGACAAGAAAGAAGTGGATATACATCAACACATAATTACAATTTCCATTGAAGGCTCTAAAATGAAAGAAATACTTTATAAAGCTTGAACAGCCGAAGCCTTTTTTTACTCATACAGAATTTTGCGGGGTTAAACATATTTTTGAACGTTCAACCTTCCCCAGAACCTGGGACAGTGGTGTAACTGTACAACGTAAGAACAAACTGTAAAATCAGTTGGAAATGGATTGAATTATCAGATCGAAACAAAGCTCCGTTTCACGTTGAAACATATTTCGGACAAAAGAAAAAACCTTGCTCAATCTATCATAGATGCTGATGATGAGTAGGTGTTTAACGTCCAGTGGCAAGTTTTGCATGTATATAAGAACGAAATCACTTTAATTTTATGCGAATATGATCCCTGTTTTGTATTACATATCGACACGATGGGTACGTGCGTAACAGAAAGACATGCATGTCACCCTACCGGACCGTTGACCAAACCCACGACCTCAAGCACTCGAGGTTACAACGCCTACCACGATGATCAAACATTGAGGACGTTTAGCTATTAGATACAATATATATATATATATATATATGAAGGTCTGAATGGGGGGTCCCTCAATTCTGTATTCTTTAATTTTTAAAGCAATTTTTCTCTATTCTTTACATTTTCCCCCATTATTCTCTATTCTTTACATTTCCCCCCATTATTCTCTATTCTTTATATTTTAACACCCAAGTTTTCTCTATTCATTATTTTTTTTGTCTTCTTTTCTCTATTCTTTATTTGTTTGCCCATTATTTTGTAGTATTAGTCCTTTATTCTCTATTCTGTAAACATCACCCAGACCCTCTTATATTGGTTTTTAATCAGATTATCAATTTTCAAACGTATTTTGAAACGTTGTGTAGAAAACAAAGAAGACCAGGTTGTTGGTTCAATTATGCTCTTTTAAAGGTTTATAAAAAGGTCTTTAAATGTGGAGAATGCAAACTCACATTAAGAAAAGTCTGCCTTCTTATGTTAATAAAAAAACAAAGATATTTTGAATGGAAGCACATAATTCGCGCAATTTGCAGTATTTTCCAGGAAAGTAGTACGATTGGGGTGAATAACATTTAATAAATCAGTCTGCACTGAAAACTATTGAGCTTGAAATATATATAAACATATAAATGTACGAAGTATTTGTCACTGAATGTTTAACTAACAACGAGTTACCTTGCGAGCTATCGTGTTAAAATTTCTGACCAAGAATGTTTTAGTATAAGAAGCAGGGTTTATATTCATATCAGGGTTTCGCCTTGACTTATATATAAATGACCTGTGGACATTATCAAATACTTATTTTTGTTAAACTGTCACTTCTCTTGCCTTTTAATACATCTTCTATATGAATAACATGTTTGGGGCAGTACACGAGTAACTTTAATCCAGTAGGATAATACAATTTATGGTGTAAAGTCAAGGACTCCACAATTGTTATGGAGCCCGGAGCCCAAGTATCTGTGGCCAGAATCGCTAACTACTTTTTAACCATGAGTTCTATCAGTGGAATCCGGAACCCAGAAACCGTTTCGTCCTCTAAAAGTTGATTTGTAGCATTATCTATTTTATATGCATCGATTCCGCATCGCTACTTTTTATAACTTGAGCCATCTGACGACATGGACTACAAAAACTAATAATATTTAAGATACTAGCAATGCTCCATAGGTCTGCATATATCAAATGCTTCGATTTGCCGACATGATTTAATAGAAGATAAAGGATACTAAAGTATGTGGGATAAAATTGGGAAAAGATGGTGTATATTGGATAAACCTGGGGGAGGGGGTGTATGTGGGAAAAACCTGGCAAAAAGGGGTGTACTTTGGATAAACCTGTTGAAAAGGGGATTTATATATGGGATAAACCTGAGAAAAGGGGGTGTATGTGGGATAAACCTGGTAAAGGGAGTGTGTGTGGGATAAACCTGAGAAAAGGGGATGTATATGTGGTATAAACCTGGTAAAGGGAGTGTATGTGGGATAAACCTGGTAAAGGGAGTGTATGTGGGATAAACCTGGTAAAGGGAGTGTGTGTGGGATAAACCTGGGGACAAGGTGGTGTATGTGAGATAAACCTGGCAAAAAGGGGTGTATTTTTGATAAACCTGTGGGAAAGGGGTTATAATTGGGATCAACCTGGGGGGAAAGGGAGTATTTGGAATAAACCTTGCAAAAAGGGGGTTCTTGTCATTAACTTATCGATTATCACATAAGTTTACAAATTTTAGAGAAAACAACTAGGATTTTCCTCTACTTAAATCCGTAACGGGACGAGACATTTAATTTATAATTGATAACTATTTTCTTAAGTCTTTTATTTAAGCGTTTGGTGTTTTGGGTTTTGTTTTGTTGATTTTAAGAAAACCAGATTAAGCCAGCGCCTCTGTATTCGTCTCAAAACAGGATATTTTGTTGAATGATGATATATTTTGCTCTAACAAACACGTGAAAATACGTATTGCCTGTCCTTCAAACTGATAACGGAGATTAAAATAGGTACAGTATTTCCGTCTTAAACACGCATTAGACAAGTTGTGATGTTGTGGTTAAGACCCTCCAATTCATAAGTACATGGTATTTATTTACATAAGTACTGTGTAGATATATGCTATTCAGGTCACTCTAATGGTCAGAGTTTACCTTAAATAAACCATTCGAGAGATTAAAAGTATGACCTTATACAAGGTCATGGGCAAACAAATATTTATTTTTACGATATGAATTATTAAGTATTGAAGACAAGTAAAGTTACTTATACATTGTAATAGTGAAGATAAAACACTTCTCCTGGTGTATTTTCTATTATTTTTCGTTTTATAGACTATATACTATTTATATATGATATTATATATACGTAGAGCCAGTTTCCCTCTACATCTGAAAATTGTATGATTAAAATTTTGAATTCCCTCACAGATATTTAATAATAAATATATAAATATCATTATCTATTTATATTTCGTCAATTTTAATGAATCGTTCTAATAATATTGAATGATTGAACTAAATATTGAATGATTGCGCGAAATGGTATTCATAACTGTAAGCAACTATATTTCTTCAACTGCGCTTTATGCTTAGGTAGTGAATGGTTTACGTTAATTTTCATTAACAAGTGCATAATGTGTAAATTTTCTTGAAATAAGTGTAATGCGCTAGACTCTTTATTATTGGTTTATAGGTTATATATGTTCATGAAATAAGTGAAGTTCTCATGCACTGAATTCTTTGTCATTGGTTTGGAGATTATGTATGTCGTCTTTTCGGACGTATTGGACCCATAAGAATGTCTAGCTTTCTACGCCACGTTAAAATACAATTCAAATTAAAGATGAACATGTTAGGGGAGTCTTAAACTTGTATTGAGGTGAGAGTTTTTTTGCTCCGTGTTGAAGGCCTCACTGTGACTTTGAGATGAAAAACAGCAATATTTGTGTGATTTTGGCTGTGCATGTACTGATTTTGTGTCATGGATGGATATACCCCATATCCATTGTTTTTAGTCCCCTATCGACTAAATCGAAGGGGACTTAAGGTTTGCACTCCGTCCGTCTGTCTGTCTGTCCATCCGTCAGTCCGGCAAATCAGTTTTCCACACTTTTTTTTTCGTCGTGCTTGAAGATATTGATTTGATATTTGGTTTATTGTTTTATCATACAAGTTACAGATCAAGTTCGAATTTTGTTCCGGTCTGATGATTTTGTGCAGAGTTATGGTCCTTGGACTTAGAAAATTCATTCAAATAATCAGTTTTCCGCACTTTTTTCATCATGGTTGAATATATTGATTTGGTAATTGGTATATTGTTTTATCACGACAAGTTACAGATCAAGTTCGAATTTTGTTCCAGTCTGATGATTTTGTGCAGAGTTATGGTCCTTGGACTTAGAAAATTCATCCTTATAATCAGTTTTCCTCACTTTTTTTCGTCTTGCTCGAAGATATTGACTTGATATTTGCTATATAGTTTACACCATGACAAGTTACAGATCAAGTTAGCATTTTGTTCCAGTATAATGAATTTTTAACCGGTAGGGGACTATGTTTTGCCACGCAATACTCTTGGAATGCTTGTTCTATAATATATTGTATTTTCTGCTACTCCTTCTCAAGATAAACTTGGATGAGTTGTCATGTCGGTTACTGTAGAGGCGTGTGGTATGTTGTTTTGATTAAAATGGTAAAAAATAAAGCATTTAAAATTTTTGCCCTTTTTGTGCGACATTTTATCATCTTCGCTGGCCAAGGGTTACGATCCAGTCCCCTCATTACTATTAAACAATGCAGATTGTGATATTTAATGGAGTGGGAATATTTTCTGTCGAAATTGTGTGAAAGAGAATAACTAACTGTTAGTGATATATTTGCCTCATAAGTTCACTTTTACTGATATTCATCATAGGTGAGCTAGTTCTTTAAGTACGCTTTATATGGATAATGAATGGTTGGCGTTAATTTTTATTAACAAGTACATGTTGTGTAAAGTTATTAGACATTCATGAAATAAGTGACCGTAGTTCTCATGCATTGAATTCTTTGTCATTGGTTTAGAGATTATGTATGTCGTCTTTTCGGACGTGCTGGACCCATTAGAAATTAGAAATGTGTAGTTCTCTACACCACGTTAAATTAAATGGAATTAAAAGATAAACATATATTGTTTTCTCTGCTACTCCTTCTCCAGATAAACTTGGAACAGTTGTTATGTCCGCTACTGTTTCGATCCCAAAGCCGATGGATTCAGTCTGTGGTTAAAGTTTTTTTACATCAATAATTTTGTCAAACCTTCGTGGCATTTTACAAAACTTTGATAGATGCTTCTGTGTGATCTGCAGACAGTCTCCAGGGCAAATATTGAAAACATTTCCTTGTGGCACACATTTATGACACGAGATTTTCAAACTGAGTGAATATATTCACCTTTTACAGTACAAATGTCCTCACTGTTTAGGAATACATTTTGAAGTAAGTTATCGTCTGCTTTGAAGTTCATCCATTACAATGGACAAACATACTTATCATATTATAAAAAAATGGACATGGTTTGGAACACGATATATCCTCGGGCATTTTCCTCGTCTTTCAATTTACTCTGCTTGGTGGATTTTATACTTTTTGTTAGTCGTGTTTAACAATCTCAAAGGGTAAACATTTATATAAAATTTCGATGAATAAAGCAGATAATTCTATTTGACGTCTTTCAGTATTTGGTGATAGATGCCATTTTTCAACAATAACTTTTTTACATTTTAATACAATTTTTCAATTATATCTGTGCATATAAAGAGTTAGGATTGAATATGTCTAATCTTATAAAATTTCAAATGATTAAAATGATGAATAAAAAGCTATTTCAAGAAAGGTCAGTTGTTGTTAATGGTGAATGACTGCCCTGTTGCTGAAAAGATTTATCTTTTCGACTGTAGACACAGCAAGCTGACCATAAGTATGATGAGATGTAAAGTTTTGCACCCCAAATATGATATCAAAAAGATTGCATGCACTTTTAATTAGGTCTTAACATATTGTATATCCACCTGTCTATTGTTGAAAACTTCTTAGTGCCCTCTATATACGTCTTTGGGTTGTGTCGTTGGGTTGTTGTCTTGTTGACGCGTACCCCACATCTCCTTTCAGCAAAATTTTAAATAACTTTTGGTTCGACTTGAAGAAAAGAAAGTCAAGAACCAAATGGCAGAAAAGATACATAAGAGTCCAAAAAAATGGTCATTTAAATTTCAACCCTTGGCCTGAGATAGAGTATATGTTCAATGTAAAAATCTTTGACCTTACACGAGGTCAGAGTTATCAGTTTTACTGACCTCGTATGTTTGTTTTAGACCTAAGTAAATAATATCTCGAGTTTATCATGTTGGTACACTAGTACGTTGCCAGAACAAAAGCATGTACTTTCGGTCGATCAAAAACAGATGTTTAACAAAACAATATTTATACAAGACGTTTAAAAATGGCGTTAAAATTATTTTATGATTACAGATCATCGGGTATGGTTGTACTTTCATGAATATTTCCCGCCTTAAGGCTGAACGAGTGTCGGTAATGTCAGATGTTGTCTCGAGCTCGAATTAACGATCCTTGATAGGTCTTTCAATAGTACATTTAGACGTGATTTTACAACGCTCTTTTGTTGAATTGCAGAATCATTTGCTACCAGGATATAAACCGCTTAGAATATATATGAATATGTTTAAAATATATAAAGAAAATTAATAACTATGAAACACAAGAAGAAAAAAAAAGGATTGAGGTGTAAAAAATGTTTTACAACTGACTTGTAGCTCGGCTTAGCCTGGTTCACCTTTTATTTTTTATTTTGACTAGATTACACTGATAAAAAGTCAGAAGGAGTTATACGTAATTTGCAGTGCAACTTGCCAAAAGCTTGTCAAAAAAGGAAACAAATCGAAAGCCCACATTGATTATTCCCATTCCAATCTATATGTATATGTATATGAAATGTCTGAATAATAGCCAACGATAAATCTTACGAGTCGATGGATCATATCAATATGATACAGTACACTACAAAATATAATATATAATAAGCATGTCTAAAAGGGTACAACATCACCAAAAAATTAGTAAAATCATGAACAAATATTAAATATTTCGGATAACTAATATCCTTCATCAGTAAGATGACAAGAAGAAGGATATTAGTTATCCGAAGTATTTATTAATTGTTCATAATTTTACTATTTTTTTGGTGATGTTGTACCCTGTATCATGGAAGTAATATTGAAAGGAATAACAACGTCGTCACTTCAAAGGTTTCATCTGCGTTACCGCCCATCTTTCGATAACTCGTTAATTGGTTTAATATATGGCATGGTAATTGACTCTCGGCATGAGATAGATCAAATCACTGACACTTTTCGGTCATTTTCGTGTTCCCGGAAAATTACGAATAGACCAGTTGTTGTCGTATGTACGTACGAAGTAACCCGAATAGTTCACTCGTTACATTCCGCTGCTGTACGCTACCGAATAGAGTCAGTCATTCAATGTTGATTTTAGTCTATTTTTCCTATTTATGTCTTTTTCGATCTTAATAGTTTAGGCCGACAGTTATCACATATTGAATTTAAGAAAAAGGGTGGATCATTTTCAATGTTAATACTTAAAACCAGTTAATTAAGAAGCCATTTCTGAAAGTTAAGAAGATGATTGTACAAAAAAATATGTGTCGACCCCCTTTTATTAAATACGAATAATCCAAGTCTTCCGTGTATACCAGGCAAATCAAATATTCACAATTTTAAACGTTTCTATTCTTTAATTTGTACATAAACAAATTCATATAAAATAAATTTGCGGTTAGACAGATAGTGTCAAGCTCGTTTTGTATGGTTGATTTTCTTTTTGCTCAGTGTAACGTGCTACATTAATATTAGTATTCAATTGTAAACACTTTTTTTAAAATAGATATAAATTTAACATGTTTACGAACTTATGATCCCGATTTTAATTGTCCAGTTTCAATAACGTAATCAATTACTTGAAAGTAAATATTTTTATAAATCTCGATAAACTTGGCACATTTCAACAGTAAAATATTCTATGTCTACATCTGTCTACATTATTTTGTTCAACATCATGTGAAACCTGATCGATTCATCGGTATTTAACTGTTTTACTCGGGATCCGCTTTTAACCGGAAAATACTTTTAGAACAGTTTAAAACAAACGGTAAAAAGCAAAAATATGCTAAATTAAATACAATTTTCCATGCTAAACTGTTGTAGGTTGAACAATTCTCGTCCGTTTTTCAAGTTTTTTACATCATACGACTTCTTTCTGAAGGTAGAGGTTTTATATGATACAGCGCCACCTTCTTATTAATAAACCTCGGATTTCACACAGGTGCTTTATAATTACCGGACTCGATAAAATCAAGTGACTGATAAGAAATTCCAGATGCCATTTTACAACCGCGGTATCACAGATAGTAACCAAAGGGGTATTGCCGCTGAGACTATAATTGGATAAAATCATATGACTTTAGTACAGAGCTCTGCAGGCTGTTAATACATGCTAATTAGTCGTTGTTATTCCTTTTAAATATTACTTCCATGCCTGTATAGACTCATCGTCAGCGAGGGAGAAAACATCTCTATCTTAAATTTCTCAAGGCCTGTAAGAGGGTCTTCATGGGAGGGTCTTCTTTTTTCTCTATTCTTTATTTTTTTGCCCATTTTTCTATATTCTTTATTTTTTGCCCATTTTTCTCGATTCTTTATTTTTTTAGTACGGGTCCAATTATTCTCGATTCTTTATTTGTTTGGCTTATTCCTGTATTTTTATTTGTTTTTGCCCTTTATTGTCTTTTTTTGAGGTCATTATTCTCTATTCTGTAAACCCCATCCAGACACTCCTGTAATATGAGATACGTTAATTTTACCATATAAAGAATTATGACATTTCTATTTACCCTTGTGTATTTTCAGTGGTATTGAATGAAAAGCAGAGGAGAGCCAAACGGAAACTTATAGAGGACAATAGGAAAAAAAGACAAACTGATGGTTTCAAACCAAAAGCTCCTGAGGACGGATGTTTGCACGAATTAATGACTGATAATGACAGATTGTTAATTAATGAAATAGTTCAAGCGTATGATCAAACAAATGTTACACTGCCACCAAAAGGAAGTGAGGTATGCAATATGCAAAATATATAAACCAACAATATTTTAATAAAATTCTCAACAGTTTTGTGCCATGATATTTGTTAGTTAAATATTGAGCAGCCAGATTGTTTAATATGACCGATCCTTGTGCTACCTACTCTAAAATATAATAAAAGCAAATGTTAGGAAACGGAGTCGATTCTTGTTGGGATTTTTGGGGTTTAATTGATACTACAATGCATGTCCGTAAATTATTGAATCTAAAGTTTAACTATAAGGTTTCAAAGTTGGTTCAGTATTTCACAGTTACATTTTGTAAGGGGTCAATGTATGAATAAATGCAATGTTTTTTTGGTTGAGAAGTAGGGTTAGGCATAGTTTTGCCCCACCCGTTTAAAATTGACGACAAGCCTCCCTTGCTCCTGTTTGGCCTTTCCCCAAGTTGAATATGATGTATACGTACTTTTTTTACGATTTGAAAGCTAAGGAAATTTTTAATTGGGCAGTTATATATAGATATTTTGTATAGTATAAAGAAAACTATTGTTTTAGGTTGAAAACTCTGACCCTGCACCACACAGTCCTGAAGCATGGCAGAAAATGGCGGAAGCTATGACGCCTTCCATTGTTAAAGTTGTAGAATTTGCCAAAGGCGCTCCCGGTTTTATTCAGGTAACTTTATGCAATTTACGATAACATGTGTACCTAGTGACAAAGATTGGCTGTTTAATTTCTAGTTTTTACTGATTTTAAACAATATTATGACTTTTCCATCGTTTAAGTAGAATTGTATTACTTTTGTAAACACATAGTATACTCTATTTGTTTAGAGGTCTGACCATTTAAGAAATTAGCAGTACTGTATTTGAACAGTTGCCGGTATCAGTTACAATCTTAGTAATATACAGATCCTGTGTCCAAGCTTTGCTTACAAGGATCTGACAGCACCCCGTTCTATTTCCTTTTCTGGTAATTATAACATCAACCAATGAAATTTCTTTTTTAAAAAGGGCACAAAATAAAACAACCAAAACCTGCTAGGGTCAAATTTGAGGGAGTTGCAACCTTAGATTTAGAATTAATGAACTGGAAATTAACAAACACATTTCGAAGGGCTAAATTTGGCGGATGTTGCTTTCTGCGACTGACAGTCGCGGTACCTACTCATTGAAATGGTATGATTTCCATGCTAACAGCTCACGAGCTTCCTGATTAGCACATTAACCTTTTGTTGCTAGGTTGAACTACATTTATGAGTACTCCGTCCCCCCTTTTCATCTTAATAACAAAATATGATTTAGTACATGTTTTTGTACCAATTGTGTACGAGATATAATTATTTTGAATACATAAACATGCTTGTGTACGAGATATATTTATATTAAATAAATAAACATTCATGTTCGTAAGTATATTATAGTTTACAAACAATTTACAGAAATAGTTATCGGGGGAAAGTTTATAGTGTGTCCTTTTCGCTTTGTGGTGTACATGACATTCTTTAAAGACTTTGTTTGTTTAATGACCCAAATTGACCTTATGGTCTGAACATTAACCACTATTTATTCATAAAAAGTATATAGCCGAAGGGATTTTGTATATTGAATAGTATACAAGGCTAAAATGACGTTTTTCTTACACAGTAGATTTAGATTTAAAGTATGAATCAATCAGGAGAGTGGAAATCTTTGGCTAGAATAATCACTATGTTTGCTTCGAATTATATCCCTCATAGAAAATTTGTAGATTTTGTACTAGTTTCTGTGTCATCTGAAATTGAAACAGTGTGGTTAGAGCAATGGAAAAATAAGATTTAAAATTTAGAATGGAAATGGAGAATGTGTCAAAGAGACAAAAACCCGACCAAAGAGCAGAAAACAGCCCAAGGCCACCAAAGGGTCTTCAACACAGCGAGAAAATCTCGCACCCGGAGGCGGGCTTCAGCTGGCCTCTAAACAAAAATGTATACTAGTTGTGTGAAAATGGACAGACCAAACGATAAAAATCCTAATGACAAATCAACAACGGTTTTGAATTATGTATATTGGGGACAAAACTATTTCTACACTTGTGTGTTGTCATGAGCACTTGCAAAAATGTAAACTAAATCTCCTTATTTTTATAAAAAAAAAAACTCGGCGAATGGTAATATGTAGAGGCACACAGGGCTGATAATCAAGCATATTTTATGTATGGTCTAATACTAGTACACAGACATCGTTATTCAATCCCACTTTTAACATGAAAGGTACATACAGATAGATAGATTTGGAGAAGACGTTACTATGTTGCAAAACTTGTATCTGTTCCATAACCCTTTTGAGCAATAAAGTATGTTTAAACTTGACTTCAGATAGAGTAAACAGAAACTTATTATATACAGACAGTTAAAAGGATACTGTATTTAATTTACACCCTGATAATCATATTAGGATTAATGCAGAATTATAGCTTTAATGAATTAAAAGGGGGTCTTTCAGGACTTTGACCTAAACATGATAAATGTAGGAAATCATGATGTAAATACGAATAAAGTGAATAAAAAAAATGGGATAATAATCTAAAAATTGATTATATGGCCTTAGTCATGAACTGGTGAAGTGAAATATAATACAACGCCTACTTTTAAAAATCTATCTTAGTCAGCAGTCTGAATGCATTAGATGTTGACCGCAGGGGTCAGGATGAATAAATTATTGTTCTGTGTAATGATATACACTTTTTACACTGATATAAATCTAGATATGTGACCTAAAAATGGACGGGTCAAGGCAAACAGTTTCATATGGGAGATTTAAACCTTGATGTGTAAATTAAAATGGTCAGTCAAATATTAAACCTCGGTTTCAAGTGAACAGAAGAACATTCATTATAAAGTTTGGTATGTAAATTGGAAGCACTGTTTTGACCTTGAAAAAGTTATAAAAACAGTACATTGAAAAAATGAATATAAATTTTAGTCAAACCATTAGCCAGTATTAAATATTGTGTAGGTATATGTTACAAAAGGGCTCATACATAATTTTTGGATCTAAAACGGTTGTAAGTGATCTGCATGCAGGCGCGTAGCAACCCGTACGCAAAAACGCAGTTGCGTACAAATCGAAAATTTTACACAAATAAAAATATGGTCAATCTAGTAAGAATAAAACTAAAGTATAATAAATTAAATTAAAAACTATCTTACAAACATGTTAATAATCACTTTGTAGCTATATTCCGTTCCTGAAATTACTTTCAATTTACGGAACCAGCATCATGATTATGTTGCTGATGCAAACAATTAAAATGGTCCTCGAGGTGTCAGAAAACAATTCTATGCCTCCTTACCCAGTCCTGACATCTTATCTGAAGATTTCAAAATAACTGACGAAATAAAATATGACGTTCTAAAGAGACCATGGACAACGATTCATTCTCATGATTTTCATGTGAGGTATTTATAGTCTTGAATACATACGTCGTGATAACAGATTTTTTTTAAAACAGTCCAGTCTGACTTAAGTTTAACGGGGTTGGTAAAGGGTAATTTTCGTGCATAGTGCTTGTCGTTTTTTATTTATTTTTTTTTTATTTAAATTGACGATCATCGAGTTTTCATTTTTTTTTTATTTTTACGTTCGGTTGTGCAAGACGGGTGCCTCGTTCAAAGTGTTTCCTCAACTTAACTATACGTGATTCGAGATTAAAAGTGCTTATTCCCATGCTTCGAGGTTTAAAGTGCTTGTTTTTCATGTTTGGTAAAATTAAAAAACTATCGTTTAGGAAGTTAATTAAAAGAAATCGGAAATAATTTGATGATTTTCCTTATAGATTTGATTCAGATTTCGGGACTTAAAACGTATATATTATATACTTGCCAGTTAAAGGTTTCTAACCTATGATATGCGTTCGTTATAGTACGGTTTTTTTTATCAACGTTCATGGACAAAATTATTTCACGTTCACCGTGAAATTGTTATTCCTTCTTTGTATTTAACGTTTTTTTCCGTGCAAGTACCACACTTTACCACCCCTTATAACCTAGACTAACTAGCAACGAATGTTATTTTTAATTTCATTTAATCAACCCACTACACATTAGAAAATCCAAATTCCTAAGCCAACAGTACGTGTTTGTTTTACTCTATTTAATATTTTATTTTTTTTTCTATTTTTTTTTAAAAGTTGACTTGTTACTCATGAAAATAAGATTTCAGTGAGGCCATTTTAAGTCCCAGGAAATTGCGAGAATGCAAGATTTTCCACCATTTACCCAGAGCTTCTGGGGCCCTTAAGCGGCACCCGAACCCCCTGCCGTTTGACTTCCTCCTCCGGCATTGAGTACACATCATATTGGCCTAGCTACGCCCCTGGCATGGTTAATTTTGCATTTTCGGGTTCAGGTGTTTTCAGACGAAGAGTTTTTTTTGTTTCTCAAAACATTTTTTTTATTTATATTGCATAAAATGTATGGGAACATTTAAAAAAAAGTTTTAAAAGATGATCAATGCAGCAGCGGATTGTTCACTGTTTAGTCTCTTTTAGGTATATATAAAAAGAAGATGTGGCATGATTGCCAATGAGACAACTCTTCACAAGAGACCAAATGACACAGAAATTAACAACTATAGGTCACTGTAAGGCCTTCAACAATGAGCCCATACCGCATAGTCAGCTATAAAAGGCCCCGAAATGACAAATGTAAAACTATTCAAACGAGAAAACTAACGGCCTAATATATGTACAAAATAATGAACGAAAAACAAATATGTTACACAGCAACAAACGACAACCATTGAATAACAGGCTCCTGACTTGGGACAGGCACATACAGAATGTGGCGGGGTTAAACTCGTTTGAAGGATATAAAGTTGATTTTATTAAATTTTACATCATATGGTTTAAATGAATTGGTGTTCTCACGAGAAATTTCGAAAAATGCAATTAATATTTTACAAAATTCCATACAATTGGAACGGCAAAGAAATTGAAAAATGAGAAAGATTTGCTGATATCATCTCAATGAGCGGAACACGGATTCATGACTCGGAATAAGGCCAATAGAAATCGTCTAACTCGTTTTATTTATCGACAGTTCCTGAAATTTACCCATAATAAGACTCCATGTAGGACTCCAGTTTCAATACTGCAGCTGTCAGCTGAAACAGTTCCTGTTAAATTACTTTTTGTAGTAATTGTTTTTGTTTGCAGATGAATACTGAAGCCAACCAAACAATGTTTATTTTTAATAGTTGTATAAATACTGAAGCCAACCAAACAATGTTTATTTTTAATAGTTGAATAAATACTGAAGCCAATAAAACTATGTTTATTTTTAATGGTTATATAATTACTGAAGCCAATGAAAGTATGTCTGTCTATTTTTTACAGTTGTATGTAGATGATCAGATTTTGTTGCTGAAATCCTGCTGTTTAGAGGTTATGTGCCTTCGAGCTGCCTGTCGTTATGATGCTGAGAAAGAGACATTATTAATGCATAATGGCATGTTAATTAACAAATCACAGATTAAATCTGAAGGATTAGGAGTTTTAGTTGAACCCATTTTTGAATTTGCTGTCGGTCTCTCAAAGTTGCAGCTTGATAAGACGGAACTGTCCTTGTTGTCTGCGGTGCTATTAATGCAGTCAGGTAAGAAATCGAGTTCATAGTTCAAAGTTTAATGAATATTTGATAAATTACGATTTCGAGACTTGTTTCAAGATCTGTTTTACCGTTTGAAAGAACCAATGTAAAAAATCTGGTTAAGCAGTAGGTTCTGAAGAAAACATTCTGTTGAATGGTTAAATTAGTTTTACTATTTTCTATAATGTCTATGTCACTAAAACGTTTGATTTTTTTCTTTGTGCTAATAAATTCTTATATAGTCAAAGAAAGCACAAGTACAAGTTGTGCCCCTTATAATTGTGAACTTTAATAATTATTCAATCATCCTACCCAACTTGTGATCAAGATGTAGATATGTGTTTTTGTTTATTTTAGATCGTTCCGGTCTTAAAGAACCGGAAGCAGTTGAAAAATTACAAGACGAAATCCTTGGTGCTTTCAAGCGTTATGTTGCGGAAAAAAGGCCCCATCAACCAGTACATTGGGCGAAAATTTTAATGAAAGTAACAGACTTACGTACAATTAGTACACGACATGCTGAACGAGTACTTTGTATACGCCTCGATCACTCAGGAGACGTACCATCTCATTTGTTGAATTTATTTGATAACAATGGCGGACAGGACTTCCTGTGATAAATCAAGAACGCAAAATAATGATGCTATGTTTGACTGATAGTGAGAGTCTCGCAACAATGTCAAATTGAGAACTGTTGTAACCATGGTAACACATCGACTGTCATTATTGTATACGAAAAAGGAGTTTTGTTGGCTTCAAAATTGGTAAAATAATGGTGGCATATTTATCTGCAAGAGTAACGTGTAATTTATATTCAAAGTGTTCACAAGTATTTAAATTAAAGTTGAATGACCTAAGATAGCGTAAAAATGTGAGTTTTTATAAGGTCACGTGGCTTGTATAAACTTGTCATAAAATGATTTCAGCATTGAGATGTCTGACAATGAAACAATGCTCGAAGGGATTCTGTTAAATGCCATTCGTATGCTTGCCTAGGATATTGAACTGGTTAATATAGTAGCTATACCTTAGAACAATTATTGAATGTTTGATGCAAGTTGATGAAATTATTTTATATTTTGTTTTTATTATGTGCTGCTTGAACGTTATGTATTTGCATTCATGTGATATTTGTTAAATATATACTCATTGGTCCCAATTAAGATATGTTGTGTTACTTTAGCCCTTTCTCGTAAATAAATAATTTCCAATGGGGGGAATTTGACTTGAAAAATCTAAATTTCTGACGAGTTTTTCCCCTTAGTTTGAACTCTAGTTATCAGTTTTCAGCATTAAAGAGCAGTCTTAAAGTTGTTTGAAAGAAATTGGGAGTATACAGACTCGAGATTTATATTAATCAAATTTTATATGAAAATATTCTCACCAGTCCAGTTCAGAATTTGACTTACGTGAAATGATTATTTTGAAAGATTCATTGTATTTGTCTCAGATCTATGATTTTGTTTTCATTTGAATTAATCAAATAATTATTACTTAGAAGAAATTCTCTCTTGTTCCCTAATCATCTATAAGTTTATACGAAACTATTACGATACAGTTGCTGATAGATTCTCAAAAAGATCTTTGGATAAAATAACATTGTGTCCGCACGTCGAGTAAGGGAGGTAAATCAAGTAAGAATTAATGGGAAATAACTCAAACCGGTTAATGAATGTGTGCATGTGTTTGTCGTAACTATATGGAAGTTTGTTTGTTTTCTTGCAATACAAGTATGTCAAGTTGTATTAGGGAAATTGAAGAGATTTTTATAATTTAAATTCAAGAAATCGCTTGCACTTGTTCCCACGGGTTCCCATGGGTCCCCATTAGTAACATTTAGTGAATTTCTATTCTCCGAAATTGGTTACAGCTGAACCATTTGAATATATATTTAGTACATAAAAGTTCGCTTTGCTTATTTGCTAGGTGTTTTGCTCACGACATAAACTGTCAATCATTTACAGACAACAGAAACTCGTTTCTAAGGGAATACGTAACTAATAGAACAATGCACAGGCACTTGTCTGTGAAAAAAAAACAGAAATCATACATACCTGTTATATTAAGGTAGACAATAGCCTGTGGTACAGTGCTGTAATCGGTAACTTTTATTTAGGATTTTTAAACACTGAAATATTAGGGTAGACATTTGTGTTACTCATTGCACAATGATATTTTATTTTCGGAAATCATTGATAAAACCCGAATCTATGGATTATAGCAATTAATCAAAGATTGCCGAATGGTAGAAATATCCCACAAGAGAGGACGGCTTTATGTTAAGATTATTGAGCAAAATTGAACTTGCTGGAATCTACATTGACGTTAATGTCAACGTTGAAGACTTGCATTCCTCACCATTTCAAATATAGATATATCATAAAAATTAATTTATTTCGTTACAAAATGTTTTTTGTTGTATCGATAGCCAAATAGATTACATCTACTACATATTATTTTTCTATGGTATTGTGACTGTAGAAATATTATTCTGCTTATTTTCATCTTGTTACCACTCAGGGAGGTATCACATTGTATTGTATTATTTTTTCCTTAAGATAATTGTTATTGGGAGTATTTATATCAAAGTATTTTAATATAAAAATGTTTATTCACCGTTTATCAACGTTCGCGATATTCATCTGTTGAGTGGCCTTTAATCTCGTCACCAATCTTGGCTTTTCAAACATACCAGTCCTATCGTATTCGTTTTACTCATTGTTAAAGGCCGTGCGATAACCTATAGTTGTTAACTTCTACGTCATTTGGTCTGTTAGAGTTGTCTCCATTTGCAATCATACCACATCTTATTTTTATACTAAATTTATAATTCGTCTGGATGATATGGACAAATATGATCGTATAATCCGAAGACTGGTACCTTTGTCAAAAAAATACAAAACATACTTGTGATAAGGGCTTTCCTACTTTCCCATTTTTCATGTCTTAAAACGTCTACCTAAAGTATTTATTGGTATTTTGCAACAAATTGCAGTTGAATCCATAAGTAGAAAACTTTTAAGCCAAAAAAAAATAAGTAAAGCTACCCTATTTATCCAAAGTAGGAAACCCATATTTATTTGTTTGGCCTTTGAACAGCTAGTGTCCAATACAATTAATAATTTTTTATTGTCATTTAAACTGACAGTTTATGGCATTTTAATCCCCTTTCACCTTATGTATGAGAATTGGTAAAGTAGTCTACAATATTTTGGCAGAGTATGTCAATGTTAACTTAAGCTTTGTACCAAAAAAGGCTATTCACAGAGATACTTATAAGAATTTGTCGTCTTCTTTGGCAGTGTACGTTGATAAGCGGTGTTGTTGCGAATTTTTAATATTGGTGGTTTTTACACGTGCCTTGTATTAAACAATGCCTCACAAACGACTCAGGGGAGATGATACATATTTAATAATTTAAAATGTTGACATGTTGCACCGCAAATAAGAAAGATTGAATAGACCTATATAGTAATATTATTGTTATCAAGTTAAAAATTTTAAATGGTATTTTTAAACGCAATGTATTTACCCGGTCACGTGTGAACCTTAACATGTACAATCTCAGGGATATAGAATGATTTACTATAAGTTACTGAATGTACTATTATTGTACACTAGAATTGAGCTAAGTTTCCGATGCAACACTTTCATGTACATATTGCTGCAAAAAACGAGAAATCGAAATTATACATCAGATTAATATTTTCATTGGTGTTATGCAGGCCTTTTATGAATTTTAAGAAATATTGTTCTAACTTCTCAGGCAAATTATTTATTATTGGAATGAAAATGAATTTGGTTAGAAATTTAATGTATTTATTTTTCTGTCAAGGTTGTCATCATGTCTAGTAATTATATTTAGTATAAAGTCTGATGTCTTTGCAGATATTACAATATTTATTTAAAGGCATTAACAATGAGGATGTTATATTATATCTAGTGCTGCAGGAAACAGAACAGTGCTTAAACAGTGCTATCGTGAACATTCCACTAAAAAGAAAAGACATCATCTAATTCCTTGAAATAATATTACTTTCCAGATTTGATTCGCAATAATGGAAAAAAAAACATTCACCGAAAATTTTGATCTTTGGCTTGAGACATTTTCATTTCACTCAAGCCCCAAAACAAAGGGTATGTAAGAACAATATTTGATAACAATCTGAAGGAGTAATCTCGTTTTTCAATGAGTTACGTCCCTTGGCATTGTCACCTTGTCTGAAGAGTTATTTTTCTTGGGATAGATATTGAAATAGTTAGTTCTAAATGTATGGATTTATTACATTGGAATTCTGATTTCTAATTAACACCTGACCAAAGAAGATAACTCTTTAAAAAATAATGAAAACAAAAGACTCGAACGCGGTAACTTCAATAAAGTTTATTTATAAATGTATGCATAACAACAGGTTATTGCATATAACTGCAGTTTATAAGTATAGTTTTATCCATGTTGAATATTTCTTGATTATGAAAGTTGTATTTTGTGTATAAGTCATATTTGGTTATCAAACTTGAATATTGTGCATCATGTGTGTGTGTGTGTAGCCATATTTTATTTATTGTGACTAGTGACCGGTGGATATAACATGATGATGACGTCATATCCGTCAACGTTCAGTGGTAGTATTTTTTATACATACTTTGTTTTCAGAATCGGTACAGAAAGTGTCATAACATGTCTCGATCACCCAGACGCATTATGAAGTTGGCGTCAAGTGTCTTGGTAACCGAGACTATAATAGGCCAGAACAACTGACATTTGTGTGGATATTTTTAGTCTTCAAACTTACTGTACTGTAAATTGAAAGAATCAATTTAGCTAAAATTCTAAACGTTTACATCAGCATACTTTTGTCGTTGCTGGATTTTCCGATTTTCTCTAATATGCTGAAATAATGTGCTATACTGAATCTTGACGGATGTTGTATTGTTTATGAAATAAATAAAATGTATATAGTCCACCTCTTTTTTATTTGTTTCTAAAAATAACTTTCATACATAACGACGTGAAATCTATTTCTAGAAAGTGACTTTTTTTCTCAAAACGATTGTTGTGTAACTTAGAAAAGAATTATAAAATTATAAAAAATAGTTGATTCCCTTATCTTGATACAAATGCTCACACCTCACTCAAAATTCTCGACGGCCTCCAGGTTTGGTAAGAGAGATAAACAATTTCGACGAACAAAGTGGTCGGAAGAAAGCAAGTTAACACAAAAGTTAGATGCGTCACACTTATGTTTTGTTAAAATATAAGCATTATCGAATTTTTTTTATTCATGAAAATGAAATCACTATATAAGAATTTGTTTCAATAGAAAAAAAAAGAAATAAAACCTTGTAACCAACCACCAACTTTAGAGGGGCATACCAGTCAAAACAAATGTTCATATAGATAAAAAGAATTATGTGGAGTAAACGACAGCAACTCATCTATACAAGTTCAACAATATATACATCTGGGGTTAAGTAAATAATCTCAATGATGGACAATAAAAATCGCCCGGGTCGTCCTGAAAATGCATGAAAAGTTTGTCATTGGGCATAAATCAATCCATTAAAACGCCCGGGTTTCAGATAAAAAGCAATAAAAATTGACAGAGGATGACCGACGTACTTAAAATTAAAACACAAACTTTTCAAATGAAAACCAAAAACAAAAACGAACAACACTCCACAAATAAGAGAAGAAAAACCTCGTACACAAATAAGACTTTGATAAGGCCATGGGACGTTGTGTATTTTGAATAGAGAATTGAATGTGTTAACGTTATTATAAAGTCAAATGTAATGTAGATAAATGAGAAATGAATTGTCCAAGAACTGAGCGAAACAAGTATTTGAGATCTCAACTCTCGGTCTTTAAACTGAGTAATAGACTAAACATTGGGTATATCGAAGAAGGAGGGTCTGTAGGTTGGAGTCGTCATTTTTGTATTCTTAAAATTTTTATGCCATTTTCTCTATTTGCTAATTATCCTCCATTCTTGATTTTTAGACAGTGGTTTATATATAAGTCATTTAGTCCTTGAAACATTAAAGTTTTTATGACATATAAGAATTATGCACAACATCTCAAGAATCGACACATTGAGAGCTTTACATTTAATTTATATGTCAAATAAATATCCCTTAAAAAGGTCCAGACCACTTCAACTGTGACATCAGAATACTTTGGCAAAGTTATTTCGTTATATTTTCCTATAAACGAAATGGAAAAATTTCCATGAAAAATTGAACAATCGACAACAACGAACCACACCATGGCCATAGACCACACTTAATTTCCCCTTGCTATTTGTTCTTTATAACGTTATGTCACATCGAAAACAATCCAACCCGTAGTTTCTACAAAATCTTTGGTGTGTGCAATGTTCATTATAGGTCTCAAAATATATATAAAAAATTAGAAAAATGACGCTGACACAGTTGACAAATTAAGCCAATACACATCCCTACTGGTATGGACAAGTCAAGAGATGTTCCGAAAACTAAATATTCCATTTTTGCACCTGATCGAATTACTACGTAAATCCAGGAACATATACATGTATACTGTTCCAAGGTCCATCCACTGAACCGTTAAAACAAAACCAAAAATTTATTTCAACTCTCTTTTTTCCATTCCACCCCATATAAACTTAGATTAGAAAGGTGTAGGAAAAAACACAATCATGAAAAGAAACAACGAACATAGGGGTCAATAATTCCTACACCCTTGTCATCAAAATCATTTTAAAATGGAAAATGATGATTTTGGAACTTTTATTTTTATCAATGTGTATGATCAGAATGAGAGAAAACAAAAGCAAAAGAACTGAAAGAAAATTTCAGAACTGATGTACAACAGTACAACAATTTAGACTGTTTTTGTAAAATTTTGGAGGTCTTGAAAAGGACCGTTTTTGATCTGGTATGTTTGTGGTCTGATCTTGGAAGTTTTGATTTGCAGTAACTGTCATGAAACTGTTAGGCTGGCTGTGGATCTAATTGTTCCTATCTGTAGATATTGCTTCTTGTTTAGTTTTCTCCAGGTCGTGTGCTCAGTCAGCTTTTGAGCATGCCGTTGTAGTCGTCGTTCTTAAACATGTGGTCCTAGTTTATAATCCTGATGATATTTGAAGTCACTGTCCATTTTCTTCGGGTAAAGTTGACTGCGTTCTGAAAGGTATATTATATTATAACATTTGAGTTGTGTTGAAGTACCTGGCATGTTATTACTCTTGTTTACTCCTGAAGTTTAGTCGTCCCTCCATATTTCTGGAGAAGATAACATTTTTTGACAAATTAACACTCAGTGTTCTATGGTCTCCCGCATTTCTGTTTGTCGCATACTTTCAACAGCTGATTTGGTCAACTTTATTTTTAGGATTCTAATAGAAATTTATCTGTGGTACCCCCTTGCATGGCAGTGACCTGGTATGTCGACAGATATGTGGAGCGAATTCACCAGTGCAGCATCACTTTTGCACAACACAGAGTGCTCATTACACAGGGAGCAGTCACCATTATAGCATGAATAGTTGCATCGAGAAATTTGAGAAATCTTTAATAGTTAGAACCCTCCCCCCTCCCCCCTTTCATACTTTATACTTGACATGTATATTAACCAACACCAGAGGGTGTGTCATAATGTATGTACAACTTCCTAGGTCAAAGGTCAAGGTCAAAAACTTTGGTTTCAGTTGACAACCCCATATCATGTCCGCTCTATATCTTGAGAACCGTTATGATTTCAAAGTTTATACATCAACCCATATATCCAGAAGTCACCTAGTGGTCAACAATGAATTCACACAATGCAGTCATATCACTAATTAGTCTATTATACTATGAAAGTAAGTTCAGCTTATCCATACAAATTTTTTACCACACGTTATTTACAGCGGGGCCCACAGAGATGGCTTCCATCTCAATGATGTCTAGATTCTTCAATTACTTTCAGTCACGATTCTATTTCGTCAAAATTATCTCCCCATTACGCCACGGAATTTTTATAATCGTAAAAATGGAAGCCAATTGTAGTGATGACGCGCTGTCAATTTAGCTCTTGATAACCGATAAATTTATCCACATAGTATCATTACGATCCTTATATGCCAGTTGTATTTTAAAATACAAATGTATCTACTAGTTATTGAGCATCATTTAATGAACTTTTATGCATGTGGTCAACTTTAAACTATTGTCTGATCGGTTGTCAGGGGAAATTTCCGAAAGTTCAAAAATAATTAAAAAAATTCTAATTAAATATTTCGTGGAAGGGCAGACTTAAAGTTTTCAGAGATTGGAGACTAATTACCTTAGATAACACACACACAAAATGAAGTTTTTTTTGAAGTTATGCATTTTTTAAGATCCACCAGGAAAGTTTGTCGTCAAGTACTTTTAGTAAAAAATATGTCATTCAAACACGCATACTCTGTGATTATACCTCTTTCTTCTCTTTTTTTTATGTTCTGTATTGTTATATAATTGATTGTAATGATTAATGTTTGTTCTTTGTGTGTTGATGACAATCCATATTTTGGATTTTATATCAATAAAATCTTTTACTCTGTTGTTATGACTCATTAGAAAGGTATTTCACTTGACCCATATATTTCATCTTTTAGTACTGTAAATTTTTAATGTTTTTGTATCAATCTACAGCCTATATATATAAAAATAATAGAATCTGAAGCGAGATAATGTATCAAATATTTTTCTTTTATACGTTTTCAAGACAGAATAGTCAACTGAAACACGCCTGAACCTAAAAAGGTGTACTCGACTTTCTCTTTTTGATGAAATTATTGCCTATATTGGGGAATTTTTCCAAAAAAACTGTCACCGGGGGCATAGATGCAACTTGATGCTTTAAGAAGATAAATCTATTATCTTTCTTTGGATTTTTTTTCGGCGGAATTTATGCTTATGCACAAAAAAGATCCACGAAAATTTGCACATACCACAATCGACTGTTTTGTTAAAATGTGTCTATAATTTAAAAGTTTACAAATATCTCGAAGCTTAATTAAATTATTTAAGTTAAAACACATACATAAAATGCATAAAATCCTAAATTAGGCCCATAGAAACAGATGTAAACAATTCAAATTTACTAACTTCGCCTTTTTTACCTTCTCTAACAAAGAGTTCCATTTCTTTTGTTTAATTTCAACTGGGTTTCCGCCTGCTTTATCATATTTTCTATGAGTTAATTACAACCATTGAACATCGGCACTTCAGATCTTTGCTGAATATTGTCTTAAGTTGTCTATTTTCCTCCTTTATATTCCCATATAACATTCCTTCACTGTATTGTGCTCGCAAAGAGACCCTGAATTGTGACTGCCAAAGATGTACACGATCTGCTAGTCTTTCAACGTTCCACATAGGTTCAAGAGATTTCGGGGCGTCCTTAATACCAGTTGCTGAACATCTGTGGTCATATGCCGTACCAGACATTTTTGTAGAGCTAGTGTAAGAGATAAAGAAGTCATTGTTAAATGTGTACAGGCGTACACACATTGCAACTTTAAAAAGTCCATAGTTACAGAATTGGTTTCACATCTCTTTCCTAACTCATATTCCGATAAGGAAGCAGGTCTGTTTAAATTAGCCGCACTGTCTTCGTGGCCTGGATTTATTCGTTCACATGTATTTTCGCCCATAATAGCCAAAACTTATCTGACTGAATAATATTCACAATAGAGGTCGGTCAATTTAAAACATATCCAATCGCATCAGCGGCTCTTTTCACAAAAAATCTTAAGAGTAAAAATACTCGTAAGTCACACACATTTCAGTATAACTTACGATCAATTTTAATCGTAAGATTTTTTGTGAAAAGAGTCGCAGGTGCGTTGACGTATACGTATCTGAGGACATACTAAAATAATATGTGGTACTATCCTTGAGTGAAATATCGTTGAATATGTGTAGGAGCTGCGCTTACGAGGTACGTGGCACAATAGGT